ATGCCTACGCTTTGTCGCGTTGCCTGCTCTTGCAAAGCGCCGAACAGTAACCTTCCATCTGTTCGTCACCGCCCACCAAAGTGGCCAAGCAGACAGCTGCTAGTTTGAAAGTGTTTGTTGCTTCGGCGGACCTTCTTTCGTCCACAGTTCTTGCCTTGCTCCAACATGCCAATACCTACTGCCGCACAATCATCGATCGGCTCCCTGAATTATCGCGTGCTCCAAACAGCCCCCTAAGACAACAACTAGCACGTTTCAAGCTTCAAGATGGAAGATTATATCGCCAAATTTACCATCCTCTCTGTAACCAATGGGTTCCAGTCATTCCTCGCTCACTTCGTCAGGAAGTCTTACAGGCGTTTTATGACGACGCGACAGCTGGCCACTTAGGGTTCCACAAGACTTACAACCGCCTCGAGACTCGCTGCTTTTGGCCTGGTCTCTCCACTACTGTCACCAAGTACGTCGCTTCCTGCGCGTCATGCCAGCCCCGAAAACGTACCACGTCTCTTCCCGCGGGACCATCAAAACCATTGCCATGCCCGTCCTCTCCCTTTGAATTTGTGGGCACAGACTTATACGGACCTCTTCCACTTACGCCAGCCGGTCACCATCGAATTCTAACTGCCGTAAACCACCTTACTCGCTACGCAGAGACGGCAGCTCTTTCGTCTGGTGCTACCTGTGAAGTCGCCGATTTTTTCCTTCGCGCCTATATTTCACGACATGGCACACAGCGTGTGCTTCTTGGTGACCGTGGCAAGACATTTCTTTCACATGTTCTTGCTGAAGTCCTGCAGGCCTCTAACACCATCCACAAGACCACATCAACGTATCACCAAGAAACTAATGGTCTGACTGTGCGTTTTCACCGAACTTTGTCCGACATGATCTCCATGTACTTTCAACCGGATTACAAAAACTGGGACACTGTCCTTCCTTTCGTCACGTTCGCATATAATACTTCCATACAGCGTACGTCGAATCACAGCCCCTTTTTTTCTCGTTTATGGCCGTGTACCGAGTTTTGTTCTGGACACAACCTTTTTGTCCACATCTTCCGTTTCATCTTCATCTCTCCCGGAAGAGTCCGCCGCTCGCGTCGCCCGCTGCCGTGAAATCGCCCGCGTTAACCCTGCCATCATTCAGGAGAAGAGAAAAATTGACATTGATGCAAAGCGTCGAGTTTTTCTGTTCCGCCCAGGCGACGAAATCATTTTGCGGACACCAGTTCGTGCACCTGTGCTCTGCGAAAAATTCTTTCACTGATATCTCGGTCCATACACAGTTCTGGAACGAACATCTGAGGTCAACTACCACGTCGCTCTTGTCAACGCGACTCCTGATTGTCGTCGCCGCCACACCGAGGTCACCCACGTCTCTAGACTAAAACCATATATTCGGCGTTCCAACCCTTTCTAACTTGCTGCCCTCTTTCGAGAAGGGGGGAATATAATGTGAGCGCTGATTATGTACTTCATCTTCGTCAGTATGACAAAACCATTGTAGTGATCATCATCGTATGTCACATGGGCTGGGTCTCTTTGGCTCGTGCATCTGTAATAAGAATATAACCTGTTTACTGCCGTACCTGTACCGGACGTGGTCTCACAATTTATATATATATATATATATATATATATATATATATATATATATATATATATATATATATATATATATATATATATATATATAGGGATATCAAGAGAGAGACAGAGAACTGTATAGATGCTCTTGCACTTTTATATTCGCATACACAGAGGTGACACGATGCGCTTTCTTAGGTACCATGGAGTTCAATCACACTTTAATACGCCGATGAATGGCGCCCTCAGCCCAATTTCTGCGTTCAATATGCGACCTTCATCTTGTTATCACACATCTGCTGATTATGCTTTGGCAGTTAACATCTACAGACACCACAGTGGTTTGTTTAAGAAATGGATCATGGATGTTAGTCGTCGGAATGGAGATGTAGGAAGCGTCAACAAGGATACATCCACGTTGAACGTAGCTACAGCTGCCAAACACCGAAACATACATTTCAAAAACCCTCATTTCTCAATGTACTGTAATAATTTGATTACCCCTGTATAGAAGCGTTTTTCGTTCGTGCAATGGACTGATTCCGATGACGGAGAAGCTCAACCAAGTTTTTTTACAAATTATTGCGGGTATAACTTTTCATAATAGGTTTTACGCTTTCTCGCATATATTCAGGCGCGTGTGTATTATATTTTGCCTTGTTTTCTAATAGTCTGAACCTGCTTCTGGAGCATGCAATTATTGATAATATTTCCAATGATATATTACTGTTAATAGTTTAGTATACACAACTAAACTCTTTTCTTTGAAAATGTATAATTTGTGTTTCAGACGTACTACGTTGTTCACACTCATTATATTTGAATTACCATTTTAAGAGTACTCTAGGCATCTGCATAAATACGCTAATACAAACGGGGTAAGCAAAGTTTGCCTTTGAAAGAACAAATTGTTGGTGATTACAACGTTATACTATATGTCTTTGCTTCCTTTCTAATTGGTAGTTAGCTCTATATGACTGGTGTAAACAGTTCTTGTCGTGCAGACACCACCAGCTTGTTACGCTAGGCAATAAATTGTGAAAAAATGATCTATAGCGTAATGCCCCCTAACGCACGTGTAGGTAAAAAGTAGTAATGTAAACTATGTTCGATACGACACATTGTTTGCCATTGGTTCTTTAGCATTTAAAATTTTCGGGGTGCCAGAATATTGCCTGCATGTTACATGATCTGATGAAGCCGGGGAGCATCTCTTTCTAAATGCCATTCAACTAGGCTAGCTGACAATCACATTAGCAGCGGCTACATATAGCAGCTGCCGAAATGGAATATGAGTATAAAAATATTTACACTTGCAGAATAATGTCGTTTAGTACGTTGTGCGCGTATGCACTTCTGTGAGCTCATACTTGCTTAAAGAAGAACCGAGAGAAATAAGCAGCGCTGCACGTTTGTGCTTCTTTGTTGCCCGTGGTGTATTTTAAGCTGTAAAAAAAATTCAAATTGGGTGAAACCCGAATGTTAACTAAGCCCCTCCATAGTTCTGAAAACCCCTGTATTTTACCTTCTCCCTATTTCGGTGGGTCAAGTTGTAAGGCAAGCTTAAAGCTGAGCTTCCTACTTAGCTCTCTAGTCCACTGTTTCATTTGAGACCTTTTTTCGAGCTACCACTATGGCTTCAAGTTACCATAAGCAAGGCTGATCAGGTTTATTAGAGTCAAAAGCGAAATAATTTTTGGCTTTTCGGTACAGTAAAACTTAAACTAAAAAAACGCTTCCTCGCACTCATCGGCTCGCAACAGCTTCAACAGAGCAGCGGTGATGATTTATCTTTTTCGAAGAAAATATTTTCCGGAAGCAGCAAAAGCTTTGACCTGTTTTTTAAACGTTTGCTCATGCCCATCCTTAACTGCATCAACAAGTCACAGCAGAATAAAAAAAATATGAACAGGTGATGTAATATTATAGGGCCCTTGTTCAGCACTTGCCTGCTCTGCAATACTACAGCACAAGGCACGAAAGCGTCGCATAGGCGGCCCGCACAGCAAATAGCCAACAAGGAAAATCATCACAGCGGAAATGTTGGCCAAATTTTACAATGTTGTAACATTGGCTCGTAAAATTTTTCATTTTCCGCAAGAGTATAATTGAGTGATTCCTGCTGTGACGGAAAACTTCGCCTTACTTGTGGGTTTCCCTAGTGTGCCGCCAGGAGTGACCAATGTCAAAAGTGAGAGGGCTCAGCCCCCCAACTTTATTTAGGGGGGGTGGTCACGCCCTGCTTGTCCCCTCCCCCCGCGGCTGATACGCCTCTATACACACAATATTTTACTTGAAGTCACGTAGCACATGACCTTATCACTAACTGGTATCTGACCAATAATTCCTCGCATATCACCTGAAGGCATTAAGTCTGACGCAACGAGACCCTCACTATGAATGAAGGAAAACAAGGGTAAATTAATGCGCTCGTTTCCTAAGTTAGTAACAATGTTATTGTGAACTGAGAGACAGTTATACCAAGGAAAGTGTAGGGGTGCTGTTACAAGTAATTGTAATGTACTCGGGAATAAAGAAAACTGGGCGAAAATATAACTTGTCGTGGGTAGGGACCAAAGCTGAGACTTTTTAATGACGCGTACGGTGCTCTACCATCTGTCAGCGCCTCCTGTGTACAATGAAGTAAGTGTAAGACACTAATATTGTGTGTGGGACACTCATATAACGTAGTATTTTCTAAGTCCGCTGCGTTTGCAAGTGTTACCCAGTGTTTCTGTTAAGCATACTTCTTCAATGTTTACTGCCTCCCTTCGAAAGTGTCATGCATTATATGAATGACTGAATTTCTAGTTTAATTAGTGTTTTCATAAACAATACATATGTTCCAGGAGTATTGTCTTTTGTAGTGTGCACTTACGCCGAGTGCACTTTGTATACTTCCGACTCTTGGACGAGAACGTTATGCGTATCAAGCATAGCATTGGAGCGTGTGCATTGGAGCGTGTCCATCAGCATGGTGCCATATGTCATCATGATGTAGCGCAGGTTGATAAGAAGCATCAACAGTCGCAATACGTTTTTGGCTCATAGGTATATAAATGGGAACAGAAATTTACGCGATCTAGGCAAATAAAAAACAATTTTTTTTGTGTATACAGTATAGTAGATGGTTTTTGACGCTGTTGTGAAAGACTCCGGAAACTTAGACCACCTGAGAGTATAAAGTGCAACTAAATTGAAGCACACAGGTCTCAAGCATTATGCCTTCCGTTAAACACGTGGGCGGCGTTCGATCCCGTCACAGTCGGGTCAGCAGTCGAGCACTATATCCACTAGACCACCATAGCGGGAACACAGGGTGTATTCTACCGTACGCAACGAGAAAGAAATTATAGGGTGAGGAGAAACTGATTCCGGTAACGGTGCAGGTCTTGTGCGATGTTTTTGCAGGCAGCGAATGGAAGCGCGTGCGCAGCGTGCTCAACCCCACGTTCAGCTCTGTGAAGATGAGACAGATGGCGCCCATCGTTCACACCTGCGTGGACACTATGATGGAAGTGCTCGATGAGCGCTGCGGCAGCCAGCAGACGGTCGACATGCTCAAGGTGGCCCAAGGCTACTCTCTCGACGTCATCACCAAGTGCGCCTTCGCATGGCAGGTTTGTACTTTTGCTGCATGCTTAGGCCTGTCTTCGCTAGAAGACAGCTGGCTCTGGAGGTTCACTGCGGAGCACAGAATACAAAATACGATAGCAGTTAAAGGTTGAGCTAGGTTTAAAGACCAACTCTGGTAAGCTCATCACAACGGTTTCGATTACACGTGGCGTTTGCTCGTCATAACCTATACGTTATGGGCCGTGCAGACAGCCCCAGTTGTGTGGCCTGTGGCACAACTGAAACAACTGAACATATCTTGTGCGTCTTCCCATGATATATTGCGCGAAGAAATTCGATGGCCACCGTCGTGGTGAAGCGTACGAAGCGGCAAGGTTCCGAAGAAGTTCATTTGGGACCACCACCTAGTCATCAGCGCGATATTTTAAAAGCGCCGACCAAGTTTTTAAGAGATACAGAACTCGACAGGAGACTCTAAATTATAGCAGACAGCTCTTATAGCAGATGATCTTATAGCAGACAGCTGGCTTACATTCTCTCGTAAACTACATGAAAGCAACAAGTATGCCAGAAGGAGACCCTAGCTCTGATGTATTTAGTCCTGCTGCAATGATTCTGACTTGAGCTAAGTTTTAAGAACAGTGGCCATTTGCACATTACATTGAGTCAACTTTCTGAAGTGTTTATTTCAACACTAAATCCAAAGTGACGCCGCCAATAAAAAGTTCGAATTTCTTAATTTTAATGTGCCATGAAGGCCATTAGGTGTATTTTAAACAAATGAATCATAAACGACATTTTTGTCAATTATGAAGTTATGCATATTTTTTCTGCTGATGCGTGACCGTACGAGCTTTCTGAGAGTGATGCACAATCGCACATACGCGTTAAACGCAATATCCCGTCCTCCTATCAATTATGAAAGCTACAAAAACAAAAAAAAGTTTTCCTTATAACCCCAACCATGCTTCTTCTAGTGAAGAAAGGGCAGATCAGCAGAATGCGCCTCCACTTCCTAAAGGCGAAAATCAACAAAGGTATTTTATATGCTTGGCACCATGTTTTCATTGTATTTGTACCATAGAGCGACTTCGGAAGAAGTCAGGGCAAGCTCGAAACCTAGAATTCTCTGCTCGCGTTAGCCTCCGCAGCTCTTAGCGGCGGGTTGGCGCGCAACGCCCTCGCCAAGACTCGATATACGTAGAAAAAACCCACCGCTGAGTTTTCCCTGCGTGACCACCGCGCCAGAACGCATAGTCTGGCGAGGGGAAGAGGAGAAATTGTGGCAAACTAAAAGGGGAACTCGACTTGTGCGTATGACGCTTCTCGGTAGACTATATGGTGTCAGCAGGGGGGCTATCGCGAAACACTCCTAACCTTTCATCGTATACTCTATAGTCAATATCCTCGACACTGGGCCTTTAGGGACTACGTACACCCTCTCGGCGGTAACTGGTGCGTGCGTGCATGCGTGTACATTTTCTAACAAACTGTTCACACATGCACACACAACGTCATTGTAAATGAAAGTTCAATGCTATCTAGGACAGTTACTATATATAGAATATCGGGGAGTGTGATACGCCCTAAGTAGTTTGCCTTCCCTCAAAAGAGCTCTCCTTAATCTCCTCGAAGAGGACTGACTTCTCCGCATGCGTTCGACAGTAGTGATTAGAAGGGCGTTGCGCAGAGTGAGTCCTTGCGTCCTTTCATCCGTCAGTCATCACCGTCGCAACATTCACTTCTCATTTCCGTTTTTGCATCGTCGGTAATTGTGCCTCTTCGCAGTTCAGAAATTCAGAACAGTTCAGAGCCGTGCAGAGCGCAACACTGGCGCACAAGTTTGGGCACGTGTCTTAACTTATCTGGCATTCACAAAACAAGTTGCCTAATCGTTACAGATCCATAAATAGTTCAGTTAGACAATATATATGCGCTTTTGGTAAGGTATTTCTATGCTGAAATTTTTAACTTCACTGCTAAACGTAAAACTGCATGCACCGGAAGTATAGTTCTCTGCTCAAACGTGTATATATTTTGAATTCTAAAAATATGTATATATAGCTCACAAGCGCTGACAATAATTAACACTTTCAGCCAGAAGCTTTTGTGGATCTCACAAATGCCTTATTCTAAGCCTGAAGAGCTTCCTAATCGGCTTGTACGCGTGCGCTGACGACTTGTTGTTTGCGTCAGTCAGTTTGTTTGCGTGATTGACAAGGAACATTCTTTGGAACTGATCTGGCATCAGTACTACCAGTCATCTCGTGGGGCTGTTGCCAATGCCTTAGGAGGGCTTTAGTTTGGAGTGCATTGAAAGCAAGGCTGGACTGCTGTTTCCAGCATTCCGTGGTTCTTGCATAAGCGTGGCCATGGTTTTCACAATAACACGCGAGAAGCGTTTACTTTTGCTTAATCAGCGGCTGCAACTGTTCTCAATTTAAATGAAGAGACGACGTATGGGAGCGCAATATTCTAATCCGTTGTCAACCAGTGGGAAGAGCGTGACTGATGAGCGTTTGCAGGCACGCACTTCCTGCTACATGCTCGCTGTGTTTCTCGCTCTTTTGATGTTTGAGGCGGTGCTAAGCTGTGGAAGCAAGACTTCTGCGAGATTTATTTGCTCTTGTCTTATGTGCCGTCTTTACTTCGCCTCTCAGTCCATGTTGGCACACCCGGTCTTTTAAAATGAATAACTGCTTCAACTATATATTATTCTTTGCACTTGAAGTCAAGAAGGAAGGACAGTCCTCGAAAACAGTAGGCAAGTCGTGAGGAAGTTTGCTGATGCAGCAAGCAGGTACAAGTTTCTACTGCGTACGACTATTGAACGATTGATGCATGCTGCTTGTCATCTCTCGAGATATATATATATATATATATATATATATATATATATATATATATATATATATATATATATATATATATATATCTTCCAATGGGTATGAGCCGTGACAGTTATGATCCGTAACCGTAACAATATATACACAAAAACTTGAGGCAAGTAAGGCTCTTGTCGCTTTCAGAAAGAAACTCCACGTTGAGAGAAAAGCCATTTGCCTCAAGTGAAAGAACACTGTCACTAAGAATTAACAAAAGCATGATATAACTATTAAATTGGTGACTTGAAGGCAGGTGTTTATATTACAAGTTGTAGTACGTGCCAATAATACATTTTTTTTTCGAAGTAACGAAAGTCACTTGTACATCGTCACCACATTTCGAGGTAGAAACCGAAACTGATCTCGTCCGGTGCACTTGAAGCACGACCGTTCTGTTACGTCATATTGAAACTACCCTCGAGGCAAAATTGACGAAATTTTAACGAAGACGCGTGAAGGTCGGGTCTTTTTTGTTTCGTAAAAATACAAGTCACCTTGCTTGCGCTAGCGTATCGCCGCACTTTCATGTGTATAAGGTGTCCAGCGCTTCTCTCTGTCCTTCGAACTATGCGCAAGAAACCCGTAATATCAATTATTTATTTGTTCGGAAAACAAAAGTCTCAGGAGTAGCCACAACGGCACCCCTTCAAGCCGATAGGTTAAATCGTTCTTTGCGCTTTTTTTGGTTGAAGAAAGAAATTGACAAGCAATATACATTGCGCGCTTTCAGCTTTCTACGTGTGTTTTTAGGAATATATGCCAATTTTTTTCTTTTTTTAGGGATTCTCCTTTGGTCTACCATGATTTAAAATTGGTCATTTCACTGTCACGGGTAATTTTCGTCGGACGTAACTGAGTTGTCGCGCTTAGTGCGCGCTAGGTAGGATTCATTTCAATTTCACACATACAATCGGATGGCGAATATATAGAACTGCGTGCAACTGTGGTGACAACTATATACTATCTGTGCCACAGAGTATCGTTACCTATGAATTTTTAATAGAAACTAATCCACTCCTTCAATACTTTACAGAGGTATTTGACAGTTTCTCGGTAAATATTCCCATGAATGTCATTCTAGTTACAAAAAAGTACGTTCGCCATGCATGAAGTTTGTGTGCAGAAATGACAAGAACTTGAATGTGATATAAAGGATAAAAATATATTGTCTAAAAAAAGACACCTGGTATATCCACGAGCAAGAGAAGGTGCCAAGTCTGGCTATGATCTCGTGCATTGAAGGTGTCACTACCGTCTCCTTGAGCCGTGAAATCTGCGCACAGTGAGCAACCATAAAAGAGTACCGAATAAAATACTCGGGAAAGCAGTCGTGTTGGGGGAAGTCCAAAAGCAAGCAAAGTAGACTGGCCCATCGACTACTCATTTCCGCACATTATCGGGAGGTGTTTGCACTTTGATACTTGTAGCCATCAGCGTATGCTGTTCGTGGAACGCTTCGTTAACGTGGCTGTTCAGCAGTAAATGTTTTCTCTCTCACTATCCCAGGTGTCTCAAACATACTTCAACTAACCAGCTGCAGTCACGAAAATATGCTGCTCCGCGAGGGCCAGGACAGTGATGAAGGCACGAGCGGGTGGCAGGGATAAATACTTTGCACAAACGTTCAGCTAACGTTGCCCTTTGAAAGACCTTTTGCATATTTCATATATGAGTCGTTTTTGAAGACCGTTTGACGCCAGGATGCCAACAGTATACCTAAAATTATCTCAAATCTTTACATCGATTATGAAATTTATATTATGGTTTCATGTACTAACACATGGGGACCACAGCGTTTCTCTCGCAAAAAATGCTTTGGACAAATAATGCTTGCATATCATGCATATACATTCGTAGATTTTTTCATTATGCAGAAAACACTAATGTGCGGACCGCATGTTTGGGGCCATTGTCCTCAGCGATCAGTTTTATTCTCAACAACTTGTAGTGTTCAGCCCGCCTCTCCCCCCCTCCCCCCACACCCCCGCCTCCCCCTGAAATCACGCAGTGATCACTGACAACCCATCAAATGGAGAGTTCATTCCTCAAACAAGGAAGAAAATGTCAACTTCGCCGGAAAGCTCTCAGGCACATGCACTGCTCCCAAGCCTTCCTCTCTCCCGCCGAGCACCGCATGCCCTTAATTTTCTGACCACCACCACTCCGGCCAGTCTGCAGCCAACTAACTCCATGGCCAGCGCGTCAGCTACCAGCTTTGTAGGTGACAGGTGGGCCACACGAACAGGCGATGCGCCGCACGTGGCGTGATTGGCGCTGTCACTGGAGCGGGGCTGTGGTTCCAGCATATACATGCTTTCAGAGTAAAGTAAGTTTGTTGTTGTGGGTTCGCTTTGCTGTCTTCCGTGCAGTGCTCTTTGCCGTCGACAAACACCCCAACCATGCCGCAGTCGTGGAGTTTGACCCGGATGCCGGGCTATTCTAACAATTAACCCTAAGAAAACTAAGTTCATGATATTCCACTCAGCTAACAAAGATCTTTCCTCCCAAGTTTTTATGAAACTAAATGGCTCAATTATTAACCCTGACACCGAATGCTCTTTCTCAGGACTCATCCTTGACAGCAACCTAAAATACTGTTATCATGTTATTCATTTACGCAAAAAACTAGCATTTGGTGTCAGGATTCTAATTAGAGCATGTAATTACTTTAACTCTGCCACTCCAATCAAGGTATAATATGCTTTTATTCACAGCTATAATAATTATAGCATCACCACATGGGGAAATACATAACTCACCCATTTATCTCCCATTCAGCACATTCAAAACTAAGCTATCACAGTGATAACTTTCAGTTAATATCGCTCTAGTGCATCATCATTACTTCGTAACTTTGAAATACTTTCTACAGTTAGTTTATTTGCATATCATCTCATTATTATGCTGTGGAAGTCATTGCACCATCTTGTCCCATCAAGCATCTTTTATGCAAATGCTTGGTCAAACTTTAGCCGAACTAGATTCGCTTCAAATGGAAATTTTTACTACCTACTATCCGCACTAATTTTGGCCGCCACACTGCATATTTCTCAGCATTATCTATATGGAATTTATTGTCAACCTACATCAAACAGTGCTAGACAATTGGCTGATTTAAAAACAATTGTATTCGTATTTGATAAACTACTAGATGTTTTATCCTGCTATATTGTTTATTGCACTCTTTTCTTCACTTGTGTCTTATTTATTGTTGGTTTTATCAATTTACTCATCTCTCTGTTTTCACTGTTACTGCTAATTGAGTAAATTTTGAAATCCTATATTGAACAGGAGGTCCCCTTTTAGCCTTGTGCTTTTGGACCTCCTCCTGTATATATACTTTGTATGTTGTTCCTTTTTCTGTAATAATAACTGAAAAATAAACATGAAACTTGAAACTTGAAACTTGTGGCCGCTGGCACCGTCTTCCCCGCTGTATTAATCACTGGGCCTGCGATGGCAACGGACACGTTTTCGGGTGACAGCTTTCCTCCTTCGAGTGATGGCCTCCATTCTGCCGTAAGCGGCATTCTTCACAGCCCTTCAAGCAGCTGCTCTTCCAGTTTTTTGACGAATCAAGTCTTAGTGCCGGTACCCGCGGTGGATTTCGGTCTGCCACGCTGGCAATTGTTCCACGAGCGTTGAGGACGAACAAGTTGGTGGCTGCGGTGTCTTAAGTGGGCAGGCTCATGGGTGCTAGGGGCTCCTTTTTTTCAGGAGCCACGTGTGTAATGTTTCGCTGTCTCCGTCTCTCTTTCTATCAGATCGTGCAGTGTTCCCTCCTACATTTCTTTCTACTCTCTCCTGTTAATTGGAGTTTCAAGCAGGGCAACTCTCGAGTCTTCTATGCTCGTACTTTTCTAGCGCCCGAAAATAGTCGATTGTGGTAAAAATGAACCAGTATGCTCACCGTTGGCATCGCCGGATTTTCAACTGGTCAAAACTTGGACTACAGCTTCAAACATGATGCGACCTGGGACTAGCCAATCAGTATCACCTTCGAGTAGCTTAGGTTTAGAATCTCTGTCCCGGCTTCACGCTTCACAGTTAGCTGCTCAGTACTGGAATTTCGGTAGTGCTTCTAGAGCCTCACGATCAGCCCACCGTTGCCTTTTCGCTTCGAGGTCCACGGGTAAAACTTGTGCAGTGGCTCTTGATGCAATAAAATTAAAAGTTAGGTGCGTTGAATTAACGACATTTTTGGTAACATTTCGGCGCGCACACAGTGGACGAGAGAACGGAAGGCTAGGAGACAAACCAGCGCCATCTCATAACTCAGTTTATTGAAAGAAATACATGTAATGTATATCCCAGGGTTGTTTGTCTCCTAGCCTCCCGTTCTTGTTCTTGTTCTGGTTCATCAATTATCCGTGGCACATGCTCACTATGGAGGATTGGTTCTGCCGTCCACTGTGTGCGCGCCGAAATGTTACCATGAAGGCTCTTACTGTCTTTGTGTTTCTTGGATGACAACCCTCGCCTACGGATCGGCCACTACATTTGCCATTTTTCTCCCTCCGGCCCTAAAGCTACGAGTGAGAAGGACGACCTGCCAAGCACTGTTGCTGCCGTGAAGTTTCCTTATTTTTCAGCGCACACATGGTACATATTGTGAGAAGAGAAGAGCCTGCACCACTCACACATGGTACAGTGGGGTTTGCTCACTTTTTCTGGCACATACCCGTTATGGTTTGCAGACACGCACAATATCGAAGTTGACTCAACCAAACTTTCAGCCGCAGTGTCCCACTACTTGTGGGCCCCACTGCTACCATTGGCGAGTAGTGGGGCACATACGTGCAATTCATTTTTTGCAAACACTCATAACCCCCACGTCGACACCAGTTGTGCTTACAACCATTGCTTGAATATGATTAGAACAATACTCAAGGGAATATAGCTATGACGCGATTTGCCGTACAGGTGGACTGCCAAAAGAACCCAAATGATCCACAGCTCTTGGGAGTTCGGAAGATCTTTGAGGAGGCCGAGAGTGCCGCTGTGTGCAACGCCATCCGGTTTCCCTTGCTGCGAGTCGTGCTTAAGTCTCTCTACCGTTTGAGCGACTACTACAAGGTTATACAGCACCTGACTAACAACCTGCGCCAGGTCATAGAGCTGCGACGACGGGAGCCCAAGGTGTCCGCTACAGACATGCTCCAACTGATGCTCGAGGCACAGGCAGGGGCTGAAATCTTTAAAAATGGGCCCATCAGGTGAGGGGTTGACATTTCTGTTGAGGATGACTGGGGTTGTCACCGAAAATATAAATATTTTATATTACAGTGGCGTACAATATTCTATATAAACGAAAAAATGCGGGAATGCAGGCAACGTTTTCAGCATAAAGAGAGCAGAATAAAAAAAATGCTGACGAAAAGAAAATATAGGTCTACGATATTTCTGTAGTATGTTGTTCTGCCTTGCGGAAGAAGTACGGGAAAAAATGGTGATAATTAACATATCAAGACTGCGTTAAGAAGCTCCGCAATTGGCTCAGCTTCCATAAGGTCCCGCCCAGACCCACGATTTTTTCAACTTTAAAGCGCCCTTGGATATCCGGGCTTCGTTTCTTGAAGCAAGATAGGGTTACAAGTCAATCAAACAGTTGAGGGAAGCTTCTGTAGCTACTTTTATGTATCATCAGAAGAAAGACTGCATAAAGCTTAAATCTTTTGAATCTTGCTAGCACAAGCAAAATGTTCTGTTCACTCTGTAATCAGAGTTAGCAGCCTCCCGCCTAGCTATATTTGTCGGGTGAATGAACTCTGCCTGCCCCAAGCGCTGCAGTGGACGCACAAACAGTCCAGCCTGCGCCCCATTCTTGGTAAGGCTTAGGGATCAAGTGCTGGAGAAACAGCCTTTAAAGAAGCTCTTGGTCAAAATTTAGTTGTGGTGTTTAACTTGTGCACGAGTCTACAGCCCCCGTCACGGTGATCTGGTGGATATTTCGCTCGGCTGCTAACCCGATAGATAAATATTTGGGGTTTAACATCCCAAAACCACAATACGATTATGAAAGACGCCGCAGTAGAGGGCTCCGGAAATTTCGACCACCTGGGGCTTTTTAACGTGCACCCAAATCCAAGCACACCGGCCTACAACATTTCCGCCTCCATCAGAAATGCAGGCGCCGCAGCCGGGATTGGATCCTGTGACCTGCGGGTCAACAGCCGAGTACCTTAGCCACTATACCACCACGGCAGGGCGATTGATAAGCCGAAGGCCACTGGATGGAATGCCGGACGTACTTTGATGTAGGCTAAATGGGGGAGCCCTGTGCAGCTTATATATATATATATATAAGAACGTTAAAAGGATACTGAGGAAAATATAAAAAAGACTAATGCACCAAAATCACACTCAAAAAGTGCCACTGTTCTGAAAAACAAAGTTTTTTAGGTATTTTTGTTCGCTGTAACTTTGGTGTCGGCGCGCAGTGGCAATCAGAATCGGGCATAGGCAGGACGTGCTGCATGTAGGTGAGATAACCGCTGGTCAAGAGGAACAGACAAATTACCATGAGAAGGAAAGCTGATTGGGGGGACAGAAAGTTGTGTGGGTGGACGAGATTAAGAAGTTCACGGGGATAGCGTGACCGCAACAAGCAAAGCGCTAAATTTATTGTACCAACCAAACAGTGGCTTTGTTCAACAGAGAGCACCATCATGCTGATGTATTAAGCTTCGTGTTGATTTACGTCAGCTTTCGGGTAAAGCACTCTTTGATCACTGGAATCGCACTGTTTGTTCAACCACCTGCCTCAACATCTCCCGTCGCTGTAGGTTGGTGGCATTAAAAATCAAAGCATTTCGTTATTGGCCCCGAGTTAGACCAGAGACGGCACATAGCGGCAAATGGACGAAGCTCGAAATTGTGAAGTCCAGTGTCCCGTCGCCACTTCAGCAGAGGTGTGCTTGGTGTTTTCTGCTCGAGATTGATAATATTAGGTGACAGAAACAGTTTCGTCGATGTAGATTAACGTTATCTTTTTCATGAAGTTTTGTAACCTTAGTCGGTGGTTTGTGCAGCGTTTCAAAAACCATCTGCACACACACTAGAATGCAAAAATTTCACAGATGCCTGTCTAGTTGGGTATGAAAACTAGGAAATGATTGAAACTCCAACCAAAAGGCTTGAACCCGCGTTTCGAAACTGACTTGGTTACTTGTTCAGGGAAAATGGAGACTACGTAGCAGTGGCGTCTTCAAAGATCTCCTGGGGTGGTTAATGACCCCCTCTCTCTTTCTAGTTTTGCCGTTTCTGGAGCACAGTCCATGTGTATGCACTGGGAGAAGGGTTCTGATAGAGCAGTTGTTGTTTTGGTTCGTTCGCTGTATATGCCACGACTCTGGCCGACTGGGTTGGTCCTACGCCACCTCTTGACGCCGGTCGGCGACGACGACGACAGTAGCTCTGGCCGACTGGATTTGCCCTACGCCATCTCCTGTCGCCGACAAGAGCTCTTGCCAGTGGTGCCCCATCCTCGAACTCCTGCGACCGTCTCCATCTTTCCTATCTTCTCCTCACTTCCGTCGTTCGCTGTCCCTACACCTTGCTCTCTCTTTCCTCTCTCTCTATCTCTTTACCTTTTCTCTCCCTTCCCTCCAGCTCTTGTGAGCTACTGTTGAGATGTCCTCCCCCTGAGAAACAGCTATGGTGCTCACTTTTCTGGTCTTTGCATTTAAAATCACCCCCCCCCACCTCATCTAGTAACCTATTCCTCCAGTTAGTCTCGGTTTCATGGGTGGTCGTTGCTTGGATATTCATCCGGTGGTCCAACGTCTCAGCATGCTCGGCGACTGTGCTGCGCTCTTTGTAGAGCTTCTGCACGTCGTTGGCGTGTTGTTTGAAACGTTACGGCAGTTTTTTCATCTCACCAGTAGGATATACGAGAGGATATACGAAGAATATAAGAGGATATACGAAGAATGGCACTCAGCGCATGGGATTTCGCAAATGACACCGGGGGTCTTGTGCATTGTTGGCCGGTCTTTCGGGCGGGGGAGTTGCTGGCCCCAACATACACGAAGGCAAGCGCGCGATGTGTACTTCTTCTTTTTGAAAAGCCACGCCAACATGGCGCTGGTTCCTTGGACATCTGGGACTGGCACGCGTTTCGAAGGGCTGCAAATTAATGCTGATTGAGGTTTTCGTACCTTCTATTGCTCTGCGCGGCGGGTGTTGGCTGGAAAGGTGTTTTTTGGGTATTCATTTTTTCTGGGGATCGAAATCACGTGGACCTCTTCTTTTTTTCGCTCCGTGTCCTGGGAGCATATGCTCTTAGCTCTCTGGAGTAGCGTGGTCACAACCGAAGCCTTGTGGCATGCGGGATAGGTTGACTCGTATTGAAGGTAGCAACCGGTGTGCGTTGGCTTCATATGAACAGAGAACTCCAGGCTGTTGGGCTTTTTTGCCACCTGGACGACGAGAAAGGGCAGACAGCACTCGCTTTCACACTCGGCTGTAAATCGTAAGGCTGGGTGCATTGAATATAAATGCTCGGAATTTAGACGGAAAAACGAGAGAGAGAGAAAGAGGGTGGTCAATAACTACCCCGCGAGTGCTTTAAAGACGACGCTGCTACGTAGTCTTAGTATACCCTGATTAAGGAACCATGTCGGTTCCAAACGCCAGGTTTCTGTAAAAACGTTTTGTTGGAGTTTATATGATTTCCCGCTTCATACACACACACACACACACACACACACACACACACACACACACACACACACACATATATATATATATATATATATATATATATATATATATATATATATATCTATATATATATATGGGAAAGAAGTGTATACCTTAGGTCTCGTTTTTCCGTGGTTCGACACAATATTAATGAGATCTAACAGACAGTACTGCCCAGGAATGTACAGGGGAAGTTATTAGAACGAATAGAATATAAATAAGAAAGAAAAGTGGGTGAAAAATAACCAGCCGTGAGCAGGAATCGAACCTACGACCTTCGAATAACGTGTTCGATGCTCTAACCACTGAGCTATATATATATATATATATATATATATATTGTAGGCATCTATTATGCGCTTCATCCTCATCTGAACAGCAGTCAATCATCATCATATGTTCTGGCTGACAATCATCATCTGCTTGGCACGAGCGCTTCTTTGTCGGGTCCGTTGCGCTTGTTCGTTCCCGAGTTCACGGCCTATAAACCTCGCTACAACCGAGTCGTCATACGTGGTGGAGGTGGATTGACGTTCCCAGTACCTCTACTTACAACGCCTACTCGCTGGAGCTCCGTTCAGGCCGCCGCTTGGACCCTCAGTCCGCCAACATGTCTCAGAGTGAGTGGGTGGATGCCCTTTCGGCTCCCGTCTCTGCGCCGCAAGCCGTCTCTGCGCCGCAAGCCCCTCCTCTTTACATCGTAAACCACCAGCGTGACCCTCCGATCTTCGCTGGTCTCCGCGGCGAAGATGTGGAGGACTGGCTCGATAACTACGAGCGGGTCAGCGCAACTAATCACTGGGACGACTCTAACAAGCTCCGCCAAGTATCGCTTTATCTTACGGGCGTTGCCAAGACATGGTTCTTGAACCATGAGATCGACCTCACCGACTGGCCTGCCTTCAAGCAGCAGCTTCGCCAAGTATTCGGCACACCAGCCGTTCGATCCGCTCTAGCGAGGAGGGCCCTAGATACTCGCCAACAACATCCCGGCGAGTCATACACATCTTATATCGAGGATGTCCTTGCGCTTTGCCGGCGCGTCAATTCTTCGATGTCCGAGTCGGACAAACTGCGCCACATCCTGAAGGGCATCGGAAGCATTGCCTACAATGCCCTTGTCGCCCAGAATCCTTCTACTGTCACGGACGTCGTCTCTACGTGTCAGCGTCTCGACGAACTTGATTCTGTTCGCCTTCAGTCGGGCAATAGTGAACACCGTACCGCAGACCGGGACCTGCGTGACATGATACGGGAGATCATACGAGAAGAACTTCAATCAATGGGTATCTCAAAACCTTCTCCATCTGTCACACAGCCTTCAAGCATGGCCCTCCGTGACATCGTAAGGGAGGAACTAACATCATTCACCGGTCCAGCCTACGTCCAGCCACCTCCGTCTAGCCCTCCAACGTACGCGCAAGTTGCGGCCGCGCCTCCTCGCAACGTAAACTCTACTTCACCGCTGCCATCATTCACGCCGGTTGCTGCTGCACCACCGGTCCACTTCCGG